CTTTGTAGTAGGGCGTGAACGTAAGCTGAAATCAAAGGTTCTCCCTTATTACATAGGCCAGCCAAATTCCCAGTGGTCTGAAGCAGGAGGAACACTGTGGTGAAAGCAGGTCATTGAACGTTTTCTGGTGAAATTTTTTTTTCTGTAGAAATCTGGGTATTTTAATTCGATTACTTTATTGATTGAGTTGGGAAAAAAAAAAAAGAAAAAAAAAAGACTCCTGCACTTCCCAGAGACATTGACAATTTTTTGTTGGCAGAAAAAAAAAGAACTGAGTGCATGAAGGCTAAAAGAGCCCCAAAGTTGGACTTGGCTGAAAACCTTGAGAACTTTCAACTAAAACCTCAATTTCCTTTATGTGGCAGAGCCACCAGAGCACCACACAGAAGTTAGTGTTCAGCTGCCTCCTGCTCCCCCTCTTCTGCGGAGCAGCATCCCCTGCAGCCAGGGATGCCTGCCTTGGTGCTGGTGCCCATAGCCAAAGGAGACCACCAGGAGCTGCAGCATGACTTGGTCATGGACTGCAGGGGGGCTGGAAGCAGGAGACACCCAAACAGCAATGCTCACTGGGTGCTAGAGCAGAGTTTCTGAATCATGCATAAAAGTATAATGATTTAAGGAAAAAAAATACAGTGGCTGTGGGTTATGTGATTTCCCCTACCAGCATTTATTGTCGACAGTAAACACGTAAGTCTGGCAGCTGTTGTATGTGTCATTAGCATCACCTGTAGCTTATTAGCCAAAGTCAATAATTCTTGTTAATAAGGATACTTTCCAGAGTTTTACAGAACAGAAGGTGCCCTTCACTGAAACAACCTTGATTTCTGTGTCTTTGATACTGAGAATATCAGGCTGGGTTTGCTTTTTCCCTGTGTTCAGGCTTTGCATAGGAGGACATAGCAGACTAGCTATAGCTCACAGGCACGGTATGGTCTGGCCACTTGTGCACACCACTGGTGCCAAGTGCCTCGCGCCAGCCCAAGTGGGTGGCGGTGCGGGAGACAGATTTGGGCTGTGCTGTCACATGTCCCACCCACACCTCCACCGGCCTCCAAGGGACCAGCTTTCTCACCCAGCCTGCCTGTGGGAAGGACTCTCCGGGGGAGAGGGGAAAGAAGGGGGGTTGCAACCCAAAACCTAGCTTGTTCTCTTTGGCATTTAGCTGAATAAAATGCATTTTTAATGGAGAAACTACTTCTCCTGTTGCCTGGATCTGTGGCCGGGCTGCATGCATTTTAGAGCCCTCTTGAGATGGTACAAATGCTCAGGAGCTGTTGTGTTGCCAGATGCTTCCTCAACTGAGATACTCAGGCAGCAAGAGGAGAAAACACCTTAAATATTTCAAGCTGTTTGTTTAAGCCTTGTGTACATGATAGCGTGCCACATGCACCAGTGCTCAGAGCTGTTTTCAGATCTCATTAGAACTAAGGTAATCAGATTATTTAAATGAAAAGCAGGGCTGCAGAGACAGAAAATTGCCATCCCTTCAGCATTAGTCACCTGGCATACAGTGCTTGGGCTGGCAGGACTCGGCTGTCCCTGTCTCCACCTTCAACTCCATCAGCTCCAACTGCCCAGGTGCACTGAAAACATCCCTCTCTCTCTGCTCTCTCCTTGAAGCCCACACGTAACTGGGCACCGCAGTACAAACCACGCCTGACTGGCCCTCTGAAATCAGGGCATGGATGTTAAATCAGCCCTACTCCCATTAGAGACTTGGGATTTTAATTACTCACTATAACAGGGGCACTGAACAGGACCCAGGCTAAGCCAACTGCATCATCCCTGGTTTGATTCACTGTTTATTTCCTTAAAGAGGAAGAAGGGGCATGCCAAACTGGAGGACCATTTCGAAAGCAGCAGAAAGATCTCTGAATCCCCTCTTTTTGCCAAATAGGACTTGGGAAGCTGAGACTGGGAGGGATGATGTGTCGGTGATATGGCTCTGGCAAACTAATCCATCTAGCTTTCATCCTTTCCTTTTCAACACATTTTGTTTTGAAGAGGAGAAAGAACAAACTTTTGATCTTCTGGATAGGTCAAGAGGGAAAGAAAGGGTAAAACTTGAGAGTTTAATAATTTTACTCTGCAGTAGTGTACATGTCCTACCTACAAGCTGCAAGGGAGAGATTAAAGGTAATTTATCTGAGAAGAAAAAACCCTGGTCCAACTGTACAACAAATACAGGCACAAAGAAATCTGCATTTCTTTGAGTCTGGCACAAAATGAGCTGTGTTATTTTCAGCTCCTATAAGCCGTTCTGCATAGTAAAACACCCGTGTCTGTCTTAGTAAATGTGTAACTGCAGGCTGTGCAGATGTGCTGGGCCTGGTTAAAGGTTGTGTATCCATCCCTAGAACTTTCTATGCAGAACTTTCTATGTGTTAAGCTGTGCTCAGGTTTCATCGGGTCCTGTCTAGTCTGAGATAACTTTTTTCAGCCCCCCAGCCTGTGATGTAAAGTAGCTTTGCGCAATGCCACTGCAGACGTGTAGAAAGGGCCCTCCCATGGGAAGGGCGTAAGTCCACCAGCAATCACGCCACATCACTCCAGGGGGAAGGGGTGTTGCGAGGAGCCTGCCCGAGGGGGGACGGCGTCGGAGGGGCCGCACGCACCAGGACAGAGGCGAGTAAGCACACTTACCGGATTTACTTTGAACGCCAATTTTTCAACTCATGTTTTCTTGCTTTTCTGAAAGGCTCTGGGCTGACTTCTTTAGGGAAACAAACCACGCTGGCTTTCCACAGATGGGGCTTAGTGTAAGTGCTGGTAGCGAGAACTGCCCCTCTTGTTTCTGCTCAAGAGAGAAGAATTGACACAATGGTCTGGCAGCCATAGAGAAATAACCACTGGGCACCAGCAGTGCCTAATGGCACAGCCTGACCGGGTGGCACTGAGTCATCCTCATCACTGCTACAGGAAGGATGAAGAAATGCTTCAAAATAATTGTATGATGGAGAGAACAGGGTGGGAAGGGCAGTGCCTCTAATTTGTGCCTTTTTGGTTTGTTTTCCTGAGATGTCCCAATCTGGAAAATGCAGACAGTAGACTAGAAACGCACAGTGGCTGGGCTAACTGTGAAGTTGGGAAGACACTTCCCAAGAAAATTTTTTAACTGATCACAAGGAGTGAGGAAGCCGTGCAATGCTGCATGTCACCTCCTGCCAGCGGGGTTGGGGAGCAAAGACATGTCAGGGAGCAGAGAGACCGGCAGCACCGACTGCCATTGCCTACACATTAATTTAGAGGATGGGGAGGGTGGGAGATTCAGTGAGGAAGAGCAATCCTTGGATGAAGGCACAGGGCTGGACGTCCTCCCTGCATGTCTCTGGGGAAGCAAACGGTTTCAGGCCTGACCCGCAGGCATCCACTAAGAAGATGCTCAGACATCCCAAGGAACCATCACAACAGCAGAAACTCCATTTGGAAACCAAGCTGTTAGACAGGAGCCTACAGCCTGGGAATGTAGATGTGCACGTTAGCAGGCATATGTACTTAGCAAGGTTTGCCTGATTACCAAGCATCTGCGCATCACAGTTTTTTTATTTGCAAGAGAGTGGTGATACTGCAAACCAGAGCATTATTAGGCATGAAACACTTGAGGATCTCTCAGTGATGTAAATATGGTTATATATCATAAACCAGGCTGGGAAGATGACAGGACTTGAACGGCTGGATTTAAATCCCAACACTTCCACTCTGTGTAAATTAAAGTGTTGGTGAGACAGACATTGCGCTGTGTCCTCTTTGGGCTGCCAGAATTATAAGATCTGACAGGCTGGCACAACTCAAAAAATGTTGGAGAAAGAAGGCGGAGAGCAGAGCTTGGTTACTGGCAAGGCTGTTAGTATTTTGCCCATCCAATGAGCTCTTCAGAGCTTGGAAAGGGCAAAAGAGGGTGAACAGAGCTACAATAAACAAGAAATGACTAGTAGAATAAAAATACAGCTCAGCATAATAGCGTTTTGGCCAATGATGAGTGTTATAGATGCATAATTTCCAATGCATTTAGATTTCAAATACACAGATTCAAAGTCATACACTAGAAATCCAGGGAAGGTACAGTAGAGCTATCAGTTATAAAAAAATAGGATATAGGAAAAGTGAGAATTATAAAAATGCAAAATTTGTCAGTGTGTTTGCACACATGTGTATGTATGTGTGTGTGTATATGTGCCCATGACTTTCTCATTCCCAATATGCACCAGATCCTTTGTCCCAAAACACCAGTGACATCCACATCCAGTAAAATTCTCTACTTCTTGTCAGGAAAATCAAGAGCAGCAGGTGACCTTTTACCGCAGTAGAGTAAAACCCAGTTTACTCCTTCTAACTCTGTGTTCAGATAAAGGAGGTGCTGTGAAAATGGTTTCAGCGTTAGCACATTTGTATAAGGAAGCCTTGAGTGTGTTTGCCTAGAAGCTACACTGAATGTTTGCACTGGGCTATGAAAACACAAAATGCTCTGCTAGTGCCAAGTATTATGCTGACTAGACATACAAAGTGGGATCATTCAGTGGTTGGACCTTAAAAGACCTGGTTTCCAAACCCACTTCCCGCATAACAGCAGGCAAATCGCTTAGTCTGTCCATGTGTCAGCAAGATTTAGTTTGTAGAGATAGCTCTGAACAGATCCCAGGAGCAATATACTTGCATTATTATAATGTTTTGCCAGAACTAGCACACTCTAGTTTGCAAGCCTAACTAGTCAGCAAGCATAGCTATATTGCTTCCCATCCTAAATTGTTAGGATACTGCAGCTGGTAATGGAGCCAAATCTATGCTTGGAATTTTCCCACCTGCCGCCATTGAAACTGGTGGCCATCTCACCCCAAGGTTGGTCAGACCAACCAGCACTAAATACTGAAATTCCTGCCTTCACAACTCCACAGCAGTAGCACCTCACCCTGCGGGTAAGAGCAACTGTATTTACAACAGGCAGATCATTCTTTCCTCCTCACTTTTTCTTTCAGCAGACACTGTGGAAGCAATTTTTCGACATGAACCTGGCTGCAGATCTTTTCTGTTTGTTGGTATGCCTCACCGCAGTGACTTCGGACCGGGTCTATGTCCACCCTTTCAATTTGTTTTCTTTCAACAAAAGTACCTGTGAGGAGCTGGAAAGCCTGGGCCAGGGGGGAAAGAAAACTTTTGTCCCTGTCTCAATCGAGTCTCAAACCACACCTGCCTATGAAGATGACCTGAATGACAAGGACAAGCTGGAAGCCCCGAGCCTGAGTGGCCGGGGGAGGCAGAAACTGAGCTACCTGAAGGACTTTGTGTACATCCTGGGTGTGCGGTTTTACAGCGAGCTGCGGGAAGCGCGGCAGGGCCAAAACGTGCTCCTGTCCCCAACCAGTCTTTACGGCTCTTTGGTGTCTTTCTACCTGGGCGCCTCAAACCAGACGGCTGCTGATTTGCAGGGTTTGCTGGGATTTGTTCCCCCCTCTGGAAACCCTGACTGCACCTCCAGGGTGGACGGACACAAAGTCCTTTCCAGCCTGAGGATGATTGAAAGCCTCATCAAGAGCAGGGACGAGGAGCTGCTCTTTTCCAAGACACTCTGCTTGTTCTCTGCCCGCGGCGTACCTCTATCCCAACTGTTTGTGCAGGACTTGCTCCACTCCACTGATGCTCTCTATGTCCGAGCTGTTGACTTTACAAACCCAAGTGAGGCAGCAAAGCAAATAAACGCCTTTGTGGAGGCCAAAAGCGAGGGCCAAAGCAAGTGCTTACTGACAGACATCGATCCATCCGCCGACCTGCTGTTTGTCGTGGACGTCCGCTTGGCAGGTACGAGGCAGCAGTGCTTGTTTTGGGGGCAGGCTGGGTGGATGACGGGCAGTGGCCCTGCTCCTGGGAAGGAAGCAAGGCCATGCCTGGCAGGTGGTGAGAGCAAGGGGCTCGCATGGAAGGCTGGAGCACTGCTCCATGTACAGCACCGCACTGCCAGCTGGTGTGCTGGGGGGTCCTGCCAGCAAGGGCAATGGGGAGGAAGTGGAGGGAGATGGCCTCCAAGAAATTTTCCAGGAAGCTAAGGATTAGGACAGGTGTGGAGAGGTGAATAAGAGAGGATTGCGCAGCATTTCTGACTGCAAAGGAACTAAAAGTCATGAGGGGCCTCCAGCAAAAACAGTCAGGAAATAGGTATAAAGTGAGCCAAAAAAATACTTTTCCCCAGAAACCTTTATTTCCACAGGAGAAGAGGCCAGAGGTACAGATTCCAGAAAGGCTATAAAAGATAATGGACATGGCTCCTCTAGTGGCTCTTAAACACAGAAGCCTGGAGGCAGCTTCTGGTTCAGGAAGCAACCAAACAAGCTACGAGTTATGGAAGCTGGGAGTGTATACAAAATTAAAAGAATTAAGGCAATCCCTTAATTACCTAGGGTTGTTTCATGCTGCTGTCCCAGAAATCCCCCCGTACCACAACTGGGCCTCGTCTTCTGAGTGTAGTTGCTTTTTCAGTGGCCTCACGACTGAAGGCAACCGGAGATCGTGTGCTATGGGTCAGCTTGCCTACCAGTGACTTCAGAACACCTGCAGTGAGCCATAAGTTTCTAAACAGGCCTCTACTGCTAAAGGTGGAGCTTTGGTGCTCATGAAACGCTTTTGTGCCTTCATCTTCCCACCTGTAAAGTGGATATCAGGTTTTCTTTTCCTTTCATGGGTGCTGTCATTAACTGATCCCAACTCCTTACGGAGCTGTGAGCATCAGCAGTGTAAGGTCTAGCATAGAGAGGACACCGCAAAAATAATTCTTGCGTTACAGACTTGGGCATGGTCACGCGAGCAGAGTTTTCCTTTAGCAGAGTAATTTTTTCCTCTTCTTCCATATTGGAAACTTGGTATTTTATTAGCTTAGGACCCTTAGCATGTGCTCAAGGGTCTGAGTCACTGGGTCGGCTCGGCTACCTCCTCTCTCTCAGAAGGGTGCACTTGAGATGTTGCAGTATCCCCATGTGGGGTGGAGAAAATTGGCTCAACAACAATTGAATTAGATAAGCAACTCTTTTCTAATAAACACATGTAATGTGCTGCAGGATTTTCTTTGTCATTTGGTTACGGAGGGACAGCCATGGCAGTCAATGCTGTCATGTTCAATATCTGTCCCTATCGCTGCAGAAAGGAAAATGTACTTTATTTTGTTCTGAAACACATTATATGTGTTCCTGAGATGCTATCAACAGCCATAGGATTGCTAAAATGACATAATTCCATACAAAACAAAGGCTAAATGTTCCGATGGTCTCAACTGTTGTTCTCTTGCACATAGTTGTTTTCACATTTGTCGACTCGCTGCTGAGCAGGGGCTGCGATTTAGAATCCAGTGCAGAACAACAGGTGCAAATGGTAGTGATAGACCTCTGATTTTTTTTTAAGTTGCAAAATAATTACAAACTAGTGAATGAAAATAGCACAGTGGGACTGCATGATATTAAGTGCCCTTACTTTCTCCCATTTACATTCTCTTTTGAAAAGACAACCCAGAACAACTTCAGTTTTAACTAGACATTTGGTAGGATGCTTTTTGCTATATTTTTTTGTATACAGTAAAAAGTCATAGCTTTCCACAGAAAGTCATCCTCTCGTTAAGCTTGTCAGGCTGGCATAAAGCCTGTATTACAGAACATGGAGATCATCACCCGAAGCAGAGAGGTCCAATGTTTCTCTCCTGTACTCCCAAGTCAATACTGCAGAGTACTCTTGTACTCTCTCAGGCTACACCTTTGCTCTGTGATTGACAGCCTTTTTCACTTCAATGATATTCCATATATTGTAGACACAGGTTTCTTCCCTACTCTGATATGGTTGCCAAAAGGTTCCCCAGCCCCACAGCTCCTGTGTCCTGATACAAGAGGTCTCACTGTAAGAAGTGAGACCACATTTCTTCCAGTGTATCAGCTATCACCTTCTATAGAAGGGATGTTCATCTTCTTCAGTTCTCCTCATCGTACATCCAGGAGTTTAAGGCAAAAAGCAGGGGTTTTTTAGTAAATAGGTCAGCCCCATGTCTTAAAAAATGCTGTAACAACAAATGACTAACAAATAGTCACATTAAGATTACTAACATATTTTAGAGCACTTTCAGGGGAGTACACACCTAGCTACACGTTTGAGGGCACAGATGTCCAGACCCTCACCTAGCAAAAGGCCACAAGGAGATGTTTCAAACACAGGGTGCTGATTTGTTGTGATTCATGACAAACTGTTCTATGACGGTATGATTCATGACTGGCACAATATTAATGGACTTAGTCTCAAAGTCAATAACAGAGCTTTGAGATCTTGCAGTATCTTAGAATCATAGAACAGTTCGGGTTGGAAGGGGCCTTTAAAGACCATCTAG